GAAACTGAGATCCAGTTCATCGGCAGAATACTTTTTAGTTCCTATACAGCTATGACTCGAATCTCAATGTTTTGTGAATTCGCATTACAAAAAATAGATATTTTTTATGGGTTCATTTTCGCAAAAAAAATTGACAAATTAATGTTTATCGCAAAAACTCTCACAGATAGGAATTAACAAAAGAGTTATGGAAACTCATGAGGATTCCAAAAATGACTCGATATACGAGGTACTCCATTTAAAATAACAAAGTAGCGACTAATTTCTTATACAAGCGGCAACACTGTATTGATTAATATATTTTAGATGAATAGAGCATGCTTGATTATCCACGCCCACAAATTATCGGGATGATATGTCTTTCGGCTCTCCAGATTGCAAAACCAACCTTGAGATATGTCGAACAAACCTTAACCAAAACTCGTTTGTCTATGAAACGAAAAAAGCTTTGGCATTTTTTGTCAAATGAAGTTTTCCCGAGAACTCATAACCTCCGAAAGTTTCATAACAATTCAATACCTAACTCCTCTCCTTATCCTCCCTGGGTACACATGATGTTTTCTGAACATTATAGGGATTTCCCTTCGTGCGCCCGAGAGATAAAAAAGGCGATGAAACGACAGCACTAGAGGACTGTCTGACTCGACGGACCTAAAATGGCAGCAATGTTGAAAAATTGTCAGCAATGGTGTGCAGGAATACTGCAAGAAAGACATGAAGATGAAACCTATCAATGGTTGTACAATGTTCACCATGATAGTGAGTCCCATGATCACAGTCGGAGCAGTTGTTTGGCACGGCAGAATCAAATTTGCCACAGCAAGAAAGATTTTAGAGGAGATGGAGAGACTAGCATGTCTTTGCATAGCAGGAGTGATGAATTCGAATCCGATAGTAGCACTAGAGGTCATTCTGGACCTCACACTCCTCTACATCATGGTGAGGAGCACATTTCAGGTTGGAGAAGGTTGGACTTGAAGAAGAAAGAAGCACAGAACGTGAGGAAGTCACTGCCCACTGGAAATACACACCTTGCATATGTCTCAACGGATTAATTCGTCAGCAATACAAATTTTGAGAAATCTTCCCGAACAGAACTCAGCACCAAGCGGAATTTTCAGCCATGGAAAGTTTCACCTTGACAGAAATTACCGAAACAAGGTAATCGCTATTCTCTTTAACAGATAAGCAGCCATCAAAGCGTTGAACTTTTTCAACATCAACTCAGATATGGTTTGGAAATATGCTTAGATGAACTCAACAACCTAAGCAGGAGAAATGAGGTGATCTTCTTCTGGGTGCCAGGCCACATTGGAGTACAGGGAAATGAACAAGCAGACATTCTGGCACGAACAGTAGCATCAACGCCACTGATCGGATCAGAACTATTCTTCGGTCTTGAAAATTCTTATTTCCAAGAAGAACCTAATGAAGTTAAAGAAACAATGGGAGGAACACACTGGCAAAGGCTCCCAGGACTGCGACAGGCAAAAAATCTACTCGGGAATTTCAAGATCGGAGACACTGATTAATCTTATATATCAAAATTATTCTCAAAACAATAAAAGAATTCTTGGCAGACTCGAAGCATACCTGAGGAAGCTTGGCTCTGATGAGAACAGCATCCCCCGCCACATTTAGCTGAAGTGTTATGCTGTACATCACAAAAGAACGAATATACTGAGATCATACCAGCTGGCCATTGAAGGAAAACTACGAACAAATCTCCTCCTTATCCCCAGATTCCTCGAAAAATTGAAGCTTTTAAAAAGAAAACCTTGAGATACTAGAAGAAGATAAAGCAGAATAAATTTAAACAGGTCGCAGCGCATCTGTCATCATCCACACCTTCCGATACCAATACATGGCACACCCTGTATGAAGAGTTTTTGTTGGGAAGAATTAGCTTCTGAAGATATTAATCGATGTGATTGAACGTTTGTTCGAACACTGTCCCGTTTATTCATCATCGAATTTATTCCATTTGGCTGACACACAATGTATATCTGATCAGGGGATCATACCTTTGATCATGAACACAGCCTTGACCTCAGTGGCGTGACTACTATACCACAGTATAGAGCTATACTGTGACTATACCGCGAAACCCCGCGGTTGCGTGGGGCTCGTTCCTCGGAGGGGGCCCTGGGGTCCTGAGTCCACCAACCAGAGCAAGGACTCAGCGAAATTGGTTGATACATAAATTATGAATATGCCACATAAATGATTTTTCCATTTCTGCGAGTAGTGCAGGCATGTTTTTTTCAGGGTGGGTCCAGGGTGATGTACAAAATCAACGATACAAGCCAATTATTTGTAATGGAGAACTTGATCAAAACTAGTAGTGCTTCAAAAATAAGAAGGAAACAAAAGTTAGAAGATGAGAAATGTGCAATTTCCATGATTACCACGTTCTTTACGAATACTACTACTGTTTCGGATAATACAGTTGAATATTATGATGAATATCCATCAAGTAGTAGCAGTATAATGATTGAAACAGGAATGGATGTTGACACTGCAATTATTTTAGAAGTAAAACTGTTATTCCAGATTTTTTGGGGTTTTCCCTCCTCGTTTCTATAAAATAAAAATATGAATATTATTTCAATATACGTGTAGTTAGGACAAATCAGATGATTTGCCTCAAAATTGCTCAGTGGGCCTAAAATAAAAATTCACTAGCTTGTCAGTGACAATTTGTATATCTGTGATTTAATCAAAATATTAAACACGTTACCATGGCAACATGATTTCTCAAACACATTACCATGGCAACACAGTTCATTAAACACAGCTTCAGTAATTTGAGACATATCTGGCCTGTCAATAATTGTATTAACTGTCAACTGTTATTTTCAAATTTTGTATCAGAATTATTCAAACAATATTCGTTTCTATCAGAATTCTTCATTAAAAATATATGCGAAATGTAGACGAAAGTGAAATCGAACAGAATGTTCTGGTACTTGCATATCTCCAAGAAGTGTGAAAATGAAGCATCCATCTTTGAGAACAATTCATTTATTCTGCGCTAAGCATGACAATAAACGTGAAACAAAGGTTAGTAAGCAATGGACTGGACACATCAACAACCAATATCATTTATACGTGTCTCGCTGGTTGCATGCAGTTGCATGTATTATGTTGTCCATTCCCATTCCTTTCGAATCATTTTGAAGGTTAGCAGGAATAGTAGGTATGTTAATGTAATTTTCGGAGTTCGTAGAAAAAGCATAGTATGTAACGCGTTTATAAACTCTTCTAGACACTCGTTTATTAAACACTCGCTCCGCTCTGCTCCGCTCGTGCTTAAGATACTCGTTACTAAAAGGACGTTTATAACACTTGTTACATAATATCTGAAATCTACGAGGAGCCCATACCTGACTTGAATGCGAGAATTCCTGGAGATGGAACTGAGTCAGATGATTCATTACTGGATGTATTCATTAAAGAATCATTTCCTTGTGATAAAGACAATTTCAATGACTTGTCTCAACTAGATATGAATTTTCCAAAAGAGGAGTTCCTCTAATTCTTATTATTCACAGAAAAGTCATGCTGGGCAAATTATTCCATGAAAATGGTTGTGTTATTCACCCAAAGAGGATAAAACGTATTGTGAAAGTTGTTGGTTATTCAATATAACTAATAGTTCATGGAAATAAGGGACTTCTGACTGGGAAGGTTTGTCTCCAGAGGACCCTAAATCAATTTTTTCATGTTCTGGTTCCCACGAGAATGGATATCCTGAAATGTTCAGAGAACATCGTGGGAACCATGGAAAATAAGGAAGGGATTGTTGTTCTTCTTAAATTTCTGGAGGTTATATGCCTCCGAAAACACCTCCCTTGGCAATGTGTTCCAGAGCCTCGCTGTTCGCTGGATGAACGAGTCTTCGGGAAGCGATGTTCTGCAGGTCTCCAAAGTGACCACGAAGGTGTGCGAAGCCTCGACTCGACGGGTTGATCTCGCGGGGACTGCCAAGGCAGGTACAATTGTTAATATTTCAGAGGATCATCGTCCATGGAAATATCTATAAAATAGAACCAGATCGCCAACTTTTCTACGATGTTCCAGAGAAGTGAGTGAGTTTGTGAGCGAGGCATCACCCACGAGACGAATTGCCCTTTTCTGGACAGAATCCAACAGTTTCAGGGTATGTTTGGGTGCTGCACTCCAAATATGGGAACAGTATACCAGGACAGGTTGGATCTGTGCCTTATAGAGCTGACTGGAAGTGGAATAGCTCCTGGCCCAAAACAGAAAACCAAGTTTTTGAGATGCACTTTTACCAATTGATCTCACGTGATTTTCCCAAGAAAGGTTGTTGCTGATAGTTATACCAAGCATCGAAATGGATGTCTTCAAAGGTATTGCTACTCTTGACATGCTTGTATTTGGCACAGTGAGATCGGCTTTTCTAGAGAAAAGGCATGCTTGTGTTTTGTTTGCATTAAAATCTACCAAGTTATTGGATTCCCATTCGAGAATTGTTGCCAAGTCCATATTTATGTTGTCAACATTTCTTCCTCGTTCGTTTCTGATTCGCCTGGCTGGTATTGGAGCCCTGGAAGAGGAGGCGGTATGGATGGTACTATCATCCGCGAAGCTGTGTATTGAACATGAGGTTGCTTTCAACAAATCGTTGATATGGAGTAGAAATAGTGTTGGTGCTAGAATTGATCCTTGCGAAACATCAGCATTGATGGTGAGATAGTCAGATGAAACTTCGTCGATCACTACATGGAGAAACCTGTTTGAGAGAAAACTAGCTAGCTGGGAACATAGCTGGGGAGGCAAGCCATAAGATGGAAGCTTGGCGAGGAGTCCGTGGTGCTAGACACGATCGAATGCTTTGGAGATATCAAGTATCAGTGTGGCAGGGGGGATCAAAATATGAAGTTACTCCACTGCTTGACCTATTTCGATCAGGCTTGTTGAGTAACCTTTTGACGCATTACGAAATTGTACTTATTTTGCAGATGATAACTTACGTTTGAGAAGGTAATTTTCGCATCACATCCTCAAGTATACTTTCAGTTTCTTCCGGTATCTTCCTGTTGGCCTTGTCTAGTGCCATCGGCGTCATAGTTAAACCAGGGCAAATCGCGTTCACCCTAATATTGGTCTTCTCATAATAATGGGGTGTTCCAAAGGTCTTAGTAAGTCCCAAGACAGCATGTTTGGTAGCGCAATAAAATGATAAAGGAGGTTCTGCTTCTAGGGCAACTATTGAAGAGACATTGAGGATCACAGCTTCCGAACCTTGTTTATGTTTCGGAAAATACTGTTCTAATCCCAAATTGATGCCGTGAATTGCCCCATTCTGAAAAATAAACTGAGATTACAAACTCATTCTTGCAAGCTTGCTTCATATTTTTCTATGTACACAGGGTGCGAACACAGAACTCAATGACCTAGAAGGCTAATGCAAGTGTGAGAAATCGCTGAAATCTGAAACAACCAGTGTGCTTACGGCAATGGTAATCATGCGCACATTGTCGGCAACATTGTCATCAGTTATATATTTCCATACGCAAATATTTATACATTAGGATGTAGTCTATATTTCCTACGTAACTTCTTATAACTGATTATCAACAGCTTTACAAAAATCATACGATGAAATTTTCACGACAAAATTCATAGACTCACTGATTAATTGAATGGATAACAAGAGATCGATGATTCATTATGAACCCCAAATATTGTACGAGTTCATCTGGCAACTGTGTGAGAATGTGCCTCTGTCATTTTGTCTGACGTAGACTAAAGACAGAGCCGGATTAGTTCCAGTTTTTCATTGTTCTGCTTTGCGTGCAACGTCTTTCGTTAGTGAATTTGAGATTATTGAAAAGTTTTGGTATTTAACTCTAGTTTGGGTGATGGGTGTAGTCATAGTGACAAGAGCAGTACTTATTTGATTCGACATTCATTGACTGATGTTCGTAGAGTGTTTCCAAAATGAATGATAAATAACAAATTCCAGGAATGTCTTACTTCAGGTAAATTTATATCGTCAACATAATTTGTGCTATTATTTATTATTTTTCTATAGCTAAAATACACAATAGCTCATGTTTTTTATTTGTTCTATAAATCGATTAGGTACTTTGTTTGCCATCAATGTTATTCTCGTATCTGATATCACAATGACATTGGTTGTGTTATTATTCCACAAAATCTCCTATGAAAATGTCAAATTTCATGACAGATCTGTCTAATAAAAAAGCATTACTTTAGAGAAAATGCTGATTTCCCACTCGTATGATTCATAGCATACGCCTGTTGTAAGTGTTGTCATGATTATATATTACCAAAACCGAGACCAAAACTAAAATATCTGGCAAGAAGTTACAGACCTCTGGAATTGATGATATTGAATCAAAGTTTAGGCTAACCAAGAGTTGCCACGTTGCTTGGATGATTGCTTTGGTTCAAGATTCGAGATGCCACTATTGAGAAGTTGAGTCCTGGTTTATCAAAACAAATGAACTATTCAAATTTACCGAGGTCTCGTTTTCATTAAATTCAATTAACTCGTAAACGATGCTTCAATACGAAATTCCACAATTCTTTCTGAATTGGACAGAGAATTTGCAAAAATATCTCAATTCTGAAAAGTTTTCAGTGGTTCAATAGATAGTTCGGCAAAAAGAAAACGACTCCCCTGTATCTTTTCCACTGGACAATTTTGACAAAACTCAGTTGCGTCAATAAAGGATCAGAGTAACCATTTCATAAGTATTTGCACCAAATTTTGTTTCATGTCCTAAGAATTATAGCAAGGAAAATATTGTTGTATCTTCCTGAAAGAGCTTATTTTCAAAAATTATAATATTCATTCCGCTTCATATCTCGAAGAACCATGGTGAGTTATTGCTAATATAGCCCACACCACTTCCTATATTAGCTGACTCATTTCTATCCAATGATCACTTCAGTTGATGGAAAATACATCGAACAATTTTTCCTAATAACATAAAGAAATTCATCATAAGAAATATCATATGAATTTTTCACAATGTTCTGCTCTTTCAAGGAAGCCACAAAAACCTAGTAATGAAATAATTCTGAATCCGCCCCTGGCATGGTCGCGTCTTTACTGCGCATGCTCACATTTGCCGTGCGAGCCACGTTAGGGAACACTCTAGAATGATATTGGCCTACTGGGTCTTTGAGTTCTGTGGGTGCGAATGAATAAGTGCGAAACAATTATTCAGCAGATGATACCTCGTCATATTCCATGAAGCAAAGTGCACATGAACATTTGTCATACATTACATACGTGGCAGAACTCTGGCATTTTGTTAATTGACAGAAGTGTAAATGTTGCTTATACAAAAAAACCGAATAATGATCGATATCCGATATGTCAGTAGCAGCGTTTAGCGCAAAATGATCTATTAAATATTCTGCGTAGCATTAGCCTGGAAAGCAGTTGTTTTTCTGTCATCATCTATCATTTTTATTTTATTGAAAACTTGTAGAAATGACTTTGACCTTCCTCTACATGATTGCCTGATAGTGTTTCAATACCAATACTTCGCTATCATAGTTCCTACTTTCTCATTGACCAGCATAACTTACATAACATAACATGAGACATTTAGCCAATACATCGCATCTTGACTATGAACTGAAATTCAGAATCTTTCAAAGTAAAACCTTCATGAACAGTTATATGTACTTGCACGTACTAACATAAATATTCTTCAATTTGATTAAATAACCCAAATAATTGCAATGGTAATTTTGTACGTGACTTGTTGTGAATATTACTTCGAAAAAAGACGAATTCATATGACTACTCGACTAGAAAATGTTGAATACATATGTTAACATTCTCTGAAAGCTAACCAAAAACGTCATTAGTTCACAATTTGACAAAATATTCTGATCAAACTGCAAAATCTGATGGTATTGCATCAATCCTACCAATTTTGTACATTACAAGAGAATCAAAACTATCGGGTACATACCACATTAACTGCAAATACTCTTTTCCAGTCCAACTCATCCACAATGCCTGCATTGTTTATCAAAATATCAACATGTTGAAAATGTTCAATTGTTTTCTGGAACGAATCTGAAAGCACATATGGATAGATAAGGGAATAATATGTCTTATTCTTCGATCATATAGGGGGTTTGTTGTTCGGAGGTCTCATCACCGCGAAATAATAATAATAATAATAATAGGACTTTATGAAGCGAAAGTTTAGCTACAAAGAGCTATTCTTACACTTCAACCTAAATGCATGATATATTCATAATAAGTATAGGTATTACAATATAATTTTCAAGAAAACAAACTCAATATAATTTATATTCCTAATTTAACTCTTCAGTTTTCTATTTTTGGAGTTGTGGAAATATTAAATGAGGTTGAAGTAATCTGTGCATTAAGGTAGATTGTGTTCTTTGGCATCAAGAATTTTCTTTTTTAGCTTCATTCTGAACGACTCGATACTCAGATTTTTAACTTAACGTTATCATCTAAAGCATTATGAATTAGTGGTAGTTAGTTGGAGAAGGATGCTTTAAATTCACTGGTGGAGTAGTGTGGGATGTTCACAGTAGCAAGATTCCTTATATCGAGGTTATGCAATTGATGACGAAATTTCATTTTTTCATAAAGGTAGTAGGGACGTTTCTCATTGATAATCTTATGGAAAGCAGTAGTGGTATGTAGAAGACGACGTTTTTTCATAGAAAGCCAGCCCAGAGATGAAATATATTCAGTGATATAATCAGATCTGCGCAAGCCCCAGATCAGTCTAGTGCAGTTGTTTTGCATTTTTTGAATTCGATAACAGTCAAAGGAGTCTATACATGGACCATATACTATATCACAATAGTTGAAATTAGATAAAACTAGTTGATCACACAGTTTTTCGTTTTTGAATCGAGAGATAGTAATCGTCGACTTGAGTACAGCAATTTCAGACACCCGTAAGCTCGCTGAATAGATTTTGCTGACGTGTTCTGTGAATTTCAAATTAGAGTCAATAATTAAACCTAACTTTTTGGTTGTTGATACTAGTGTTAATGTAACACCTCCTTTGACTATGTTGATATCATTCTTCACCCGATTGATTCGACATTCACTGCCAAATAATAGGTAAATGGATTTTGTGGGATTAATATGAAGATTATGTTGCTTTGAGAGGTTGATTATTCTATGTAAATCTTTGTTCGACTGATGATTCTCATAACTATAAGAGATCTAGGATGTATTCAAGTTGCCCTAATTGTCAGCAGGAGCAAAACAATACTGTTTCGACCCACCAGGTCTCATCAGCCGCTCTCGGTCTGCTGACAACTGGGACAACTATACGCTTCGGGTATATCACCCATTTCGAAAACGCACAACCATGTTATACCCTGCGAAATCTTTGTTAACGAAATAATTTGCTAAATAGGCATCTTCGGGATAAAAACTATAATATGATTGGCTATCATCAGCATAGAAGTGTCTTTTACAGTCTGACAGGCAATTAGATAATTCAGCAGTATATATCTCATATTTTTTCATGCTTATTATCATTCGAGATCGGTTCTGAAATCTGGTGGGTAGGAAAGTAAACCAAATTGCTCATTCATTAATTGAATAATAGTTATTTACACTACAAGGGAGGCAAGTGATACTTACCAGTCGAGAACAATGTTTGCGCCCGAGCGATAGCGAGGGCTTGCAAAATAGTCCGAGACTGGTCAAGAACACTGCCTCCCGAGTTTTGTATTATATGTTTTCTACTCCAGTTCCCTTAGATTAAAAAAAATGTTTTTCAATTACTTATATAATTTGACTAATCTAACTGAAAAACCCTGTATGTATGACAGGTTTCCTAGTGTTACACGTTGATCTCTATGGAATTCATATTGTTTATAATCAAACAAATGTTCTGTCAGTGTCATTTTATTAAAAAAATCGAAATAATGGATATCGATGCAGTTGCGAATGCAGCTTGTGCTGCTCTATTACCTCAGAAATCGAAGGAACGGTACAATCGGTGTTACAAGGACTTCAAGGCTTGGTGCAGTAATATTGCAAGTGGTGAAAGCATTACCGAGAACTCTTTGCTGGCGTACTTTGTAGAGAAGTCACAGACCCTAAAGTCCCCTGCAAGTTTATGGAGTGAGTATTCGATGCTAAAATCGACGTTATCCATTCAAGACAATGTAGACATTTCCAAATTCCTTAAAGTAAAGGCGTTTTTGAAGAGAAAAAATGATGGCTATAAGCCAAAAAAGTCTCAAGTTTTCACGCGAGAAGAAATAGAAAAATTTTTGACAGAAGCCGACGATAGAAGTTTTTTATTAATGAAGGTAGTGATGGTCGTCGGGATTGCTGGAGCATGCCGCTCACAAGAATTATGCGATCTGAGTGTAGAGAATGTCCAGGAAATGGAAAATTTAATTATAATCAATATACCTGATTCAAAAAATGGTACATCTAGAAGATTCACCATCACTGCAGACAAAGACAGTAAAATCTGCCATTTGAACATTTTTAAAAGATATCTCAAAATAAGATCGTTGGTTGAAAGATCCCAACAACGCTTTTTTTTGAGATACCAAGAAGGCAAATGCTTGAATCAGCCTGTGGGAAAGAACACTTTTTCAGCTATTCCCACAAAAATAGCAAAATTTCTCAGACTGCCTAACGCTGAAGCTTATACCGGCCATTCGTTTAGAAGAACGTCTGCCACATTATTAGCTAACACTGGTTCAAGTGTTTTAGCTCTTAAAAGACATGGAGGCTGGAAGTCGGAGACGGTTGCTGAAGGTTATGTTGCTGATAGTCTTTGCAATAAGAACGAGGTGGCAAACAAAATTCTTTATAACAAGAATAACAGCGATTCAAATTCATCTGCTATTCATCTGCCTACCACATTGACCAGCGCTGTAACAAGAATTTCTGATAACATAAGCACAACAGTAGAAGTGTCCAAACAGCTACAAGAGGTTTCCCCACATTTTTCAAACTGTAATTTTTCAAATTGTACTATAAATGTTGATTTAAAATAAAGAGTTCAATTTTTAGGTTAAATTATGAAGTTTATTTAACTTGCTTCCCTAGGGAGGTAAATATTTACTTACCTCCCTAGGGAGGTAGAACGTGTTTTCCTCCCCCAAATCAGTATCAAAATGAAGTACTTACCGAGTAAGGAGTAGAAAAATTAATTTTATCACTTCCGATTCCATCGGAGGTAACTCCAAATTCTTATTCTTGAATAGGAGACCCTCACTATTTTGCTATATTAACTTCTTCTGATCAAAATGTCGAAAATTCAATCGTTTAGTTAGTTTTCATCTTCTACCAATGACGTGATAATGATGAAGTCCTTGAATTATAGGTTAACGTATTCATCATGATATATCAAATTGTTTTTCTGCAAACGACACAGAAGTCTTCCATTTCAAAGCCAAAATTAGCTCTTGAATCGACGGTTTTCTGCAATCGACACAAAAGTCGTCCATTTCAATACCAAAATTAGCTCCCGAATTGACGTTTTTATTACTGACATGAAAATAGGTATGTTGCTAGACAACACATTTAGTTCCTAGGAGCTGGAGTTGAACTTTAGTTCCTAGGAGCTAAAGTGGAACTCTAGCTCCTAGGAACTGAGAAGGATGTCTAGAGGTCATCAAGAATGAACAACATTGTTATGGTTGGTTATTTGGGTAGGGACGCATACCTGATTTGTTTCCTATTTTGACAGATTTGGCATTTCATACCCATGTTGGAGATAAAGATACACCTTCGTATTGACTTTGAGTATTCACACTAGTGTATGTAACAAGGGTATAGTTTAGTATTTTTGTTTTTATCAGGAAAGCCTTCAAGATTCACATACTTGCTTGATCTGTATTTCATTCGTTATTCTTTCTAGATGGATAATTTTTTTCGAATGATCAAGGCCAGCGATAGTTTTTTTTCTCGAACAACGATATTATTCACCTACATTTGATTTTTATGCCAGACACAGTGGAGTATGGAGAGAAATAAATAATCGCTATTATTATTGTTGATATGCTCACTAACCTAACATTTTGCACGTCTTGTACCTGGCACTAGCGCGGTATTTGCCATTAGAGCACGTGGTCCATACACAAATACGTCATTCTGTGATTGAATTCATATTGACACTACAATTCGAACATCCTTGAAAATTAAATAAACCTGCTGGTAATGCAGGTAGAATATTCTCACTACACAGAATATGTGTTGCATTGCATTCATATGGCACGGCATTCGTGGTTACTTCACATATTTATTTGAATTAACTGTTTCGGTTTCAGTAAAAATAGCATGTTTCAAGTGACTTTGTTTGACTCGCATTGGCTTCGCTGAACGCGCCGCCACGCGAATGCAAAATTCGTTTGTAAAAACAAAGTGTCACTCTTGATGGTAATGAAACAATCTACTATTATATGCTGAATACCCTGGAGTCAGGGGTCTCCCACGCTATCAAATGGAGGGTTATACCCGAGGTTATACCCTAATGGTGTCCATAACGGCATAGATTAAGGGGAGTCGTTAATCTATGATAACGGATTTCAACCACCCCAACGAAAAAAAAAAATGCACCACGAGTGTTACTATATACCTAACTTCCATCGGGTAGCTTTCATCTCTACTCTCCGGCGTATGTCTTGGGACATGTATAACTATCATAGCTTTCTTGGGACTTGATTGAAAGATTACGAAAAAAAAAACATAGCCGCCAGAAATATCACATTTTTGTTGTTTTCTCAACATCCTGCGAGAGCTCGAAATATTTACAATGAAATTACCTATCTGTTACTTCAGTTGTTACTTAAACAGTGAATGGTAACAAATAATTGAAATTCAGAGTCAAACTTATTTATATTTTTGGAATTTTTGGGCCATCTCTGAAACTTTTTTACTCTATCTCGTTTTTTTTAATAAACACCTACAGATAATGATCAGAAAAGTGATAGTTCCTGAGTAATTTTGGACCAAAAACTGGTTTTTGGAAATGTTAAACTCATATAACTTGAAAAATATGAATCGAGACTTTGTCAACACTGAAGTTGAAGAATATCTTGAGCTCTTACACTAACACTCATACAGGGTGTTCTACGACCTACAGAAAGCGAGATACAAGGGAAAAATCTGAAAATGGCGATATTTCTGGCGGTCTTTTTTTGTCGTGTCTTCTCAAAATTGTTCCTGCAAATGTCCAAAGGAAACTATTGTCACAAGCAAACTATTGAGCCATGCAAACCCCTTTTAAATCGATATGGATGGACCAAGATGGACTAACCATCTATTATATCGTGACACTATCAACAATTTTTTTCTCAATAATCCAACTCAATCTTCATGTCTCCTTGAGGGCATACCTTTGTAGATAATCGACACCTTTACTACCAAGAGCGGCCAAAGGACTATAAATGATCAAATTCCCACGAGAGTGAACTCAGTCTCTAGGAATAAGAATCAAATATGCATGTTTAATTGTATCGAATCGCATCTCATCGAATACTCTGCAAACCAAATAATATATCGAAAGTATTCAAGTTAGGCAAAAGTCATAAACTGAATGAGATAATTAAGACATGTTTCGAAGTCTGGTCAGAGGCGTACAAATCAAAAGTTAAGATACGGACATGAAAGCCGTTTTGATCGTCGATAATGATTAGTTTCGTCACAGACAAATCCTAAAGTTGAAAAATCTCGATTTTGAACACCCTATATCTCTGTAATCATTTTTGCTAGACCGCCAAGTGTAATGCATTGATGAAATCAGCTCCTCAGGAAGAATCTAAAATTACAATGAAAATTAGGGTGTTCCATTTGAATAAATCGAACAGTACCCTGTAGATCGATTGTTCCGAGCACCAAAAAAACTCTATCGAAAGTCAGTTTAGATGACATTCGAAATTTTGCAATCGGTTCAAAAATAACTGAGCTGGAGGGTAGGACATTTATGGAGAATCAGCCTGTACCTACCGATTTTTTGGATGCTACTGTCATGCCACTATTATCTGAATTTCATGCTCTGAAACCTATGGGAATGCCATTCGAACAGACCGGAAGACCTACGAGATCTGGAATTCATATCGTCAAAACGCCACTCAAAGTTGAAACTATCTGTGGCTCCTTGACTTCCGACGTATCTCCTACACTATACATAGATCGCCCGCTTCAACTTTAAATGCTCGATTGCTCGCGTATACACGTGCCCAACATAAGCTTGTCAGGAGTAACCATACCTTTGAAGACATCCATTTCGATGCTTGGTATTACTATCAGCAATAACCTTTCTTTCTTGGGAAAATCACGTGAGATCAATTGCTGGAAGTGCATCCCGAAACCTTGGTTTTCTGTTTCGAGCCAGGAGCTATTTCACTTCCATTCAGCTGCACAGATTCGACCTGTCCTGGAATACTGTTCCCATATTTGGAGTGCAGCACCCAAACATACCCTGAAACTGTTGGATTCTGTCCAAAAAAGGGCAATTCGTCTCGTGGGTGATGCCTCGCTCACTTCTCTGGAACACCGTAGAAAAGTTGGCGATCTGGCTCTATTTTATAGGTTTTTTCATGGACGCTCTTCTGATATATCAACAATTGTTCCTCCCTTGGCAGTCCCCGATTAACCCGTCGAGTTGAGGCTTCGCACCCCTATTCGTGGTCACTTTTGAGACCTGCAGAACATCTATTTCCAGAGACTCCTTCATCCAACGAACAGCGAGGCTCTGGAACACATTGCCAAGGGAGGTGTTCCCCGAGGCACATAACCTCAAGAAATTTGAGATTAACACCAATTCCTACCTTATTTCTCTTGGTTCTCACGATGTTCTCTGAACATCACAGGATATCCCTTGTCGTGGGAACCAGAATATAAAAAAAGCACATTAGTACGGCCAAACTCGGCTGGCCGTACGTACCGGCCATACTCGGCTGGCCGTACGTACCGGCCTAAGTCATGGCACATTCTTTATAGAAAATCTCTTGAACCAACCAGCAGAGTCGTTATTGCTATCATTGGGTCTCAATGTGCTGCTCCTATTCTAAAATGTGTAACGGTGATTGGATGTCTTGTAATGGTGACAAGAAATAACTATCACAGCCAAAACGCTGATAGTATAATATTCCTCAGTGTAAGGTAGATGAGTATGTCTATCTGAGTTGTGTTCTCGTTGAGGATTCTCCACCTCTGTGAAATCTTCATTTCTCTATTGATTAGGAATTTTTAGGTGCTCTAATGACCGACAACTATGACCTTCTTTATGGCGTCGAATCTCAAAAAGTATATAAGTACTATAGATATTTATTATCACAAAAACTAACGACGTTAATCTTAGTTTCAAATAGCTGAAACATACCTGTAAGTGCTAACCTGTACCAATTTTCATCATTCTAAACTATTTATAGTGTGCTTGAGAAAATGAATCACATATTTCTCAAATCATTGATTGAAGAAACGCCACCGTGATTTTTTTTAAGAAAGAATGACGTGATCTCATCGGGGCTGGCTCCAGACATATCTGAAAAAATAATTTTCTTGGAACACTCATACTTCAGAATGCTTCAAATCGGTACAGGTGAGGTTTGAGTGATCCCAACTCAGTCTGTCCCCTAATAGCACACAACGTCCTAGGGACGTCCCTATTTGGTACAATTCACGTCCGAATGTCTCGAACCAAAAATAAGTGTTCTTGGGACGTCCCATCTCGTACATCTCATGCAATGTCCGAGCAAGGACGTCCACGGAATGTCCCAGCTGGTACATCATTTTAAATGTCCTAGGAATAGCATCCCTTAGACGTCTCACGTGGTACATATTGTAGAATGTCCATGCAAGGACGTCCTTGGCATGTCCCTGATAGGATATGATTTTGAACGTTCCCATAGGGACATCCATCGGATGTCCCGAGTAGTACATATTCTGGCATGACTTCAGATCTCATATAATGTCCCTTCTAGACAACCATGAAATGTCCCTGATGGTACATTCCTTCAAATATCTCTGCACAGACGCCCTTTGATATTTCCAGGATCTTATAACAATCAAAATGTCCCTTAGGGACATCCTTCGAATGTCCCTTAGGGATATCCGTCCAATATCCTAAAAATAACGTCCTATGGACGTCCCAGTCGGTACTTTCAATATGTTGTCCCTGCGAGGACGTTAACTCACACCTCGCCGACGAATGATTGCTCGTAGGCTATAAATACTCCTCGTCAATGTCCTTCACGTAAGTCCATTGGACATCCTTGGGACACTTTTTGGGGACCTTCTACAGACCATCAACTCAACTGGATGTCCTAATCAGTTATGCAAGATCTGGTCCTAGAGGGACCCAGAAAAATTCAAATCGAAGAATAATTCGTATGTCCCTGTGACATCCTATGGACGTCCAATTGATATCCTTCAGCGTTGCTGATTGGTTGTCCTATGGATGTACTAAGGATGTACTAAGGATGTCCTCTGTTGTGCTTGATGGGGAATACTGTAGGATTTAGGTATTCGATAGTCGTCCCAGGGACATCCCTCAAGGACGTCCCTAGTTGGTCCCCTGGAGGGACATTTGTGCGTCCCACAGACGTCCAATGGACGTCCACGGTACCAAATTCGAACGTCCTATGGACGTCCTGTATGTCCCAGCAGGACGTTCTAAGGATATCCATGGGACATAAGTGTGTTATTAGGGTCGTTAGTTGTTTCGTAAAAAAAATTACCAGTATTTTCCCTAGCTCCAGCCGAAAACATGGCCGTAGTTGAGATCTTACAAAGGTGACACCTCACTTTGAATTATGATATACTCACCCTCAAATTGTTTGACGTCGGATACATCGGTTTGTACGAAAATTGCTCGATTGGTACCAAATTCTCTCTCCAATTCTTCGAGTGCTCGTTTTCCGGATTCAGAATTGATGTCAGCAAGGGTGACAGCCTATAATAGATCGATATTGAATTTTCGAGAGAACCAACAAATTTTGTTCGATGGAATCAACTACTATAAATTCAAGAATTGATCACTTGGTACCACCCCCACTTCTCTCCAAATCACGTGGCTAGACCTGCCAGAGCCCTACGGCTCCGAAAGTTGATGTCGCTGTGGATGCGCTCTGTAAATATTGAATGGTCTGCGCGCAGGTGATCGAACCTCTGCCAACAAATTAAGAGCATGATATGCTCAATGAACCCAATATAAACACCTGGAAGGGAGACGGCCGTTCTGACCATTCTCTCGAATAGCACAAAGTGTGTCTGGGGGAGCTGCAACAAAGATAGCTTGTGTTATGGCAGAGATAAGTTACCCTCTAACTTATCTCTGACCTGCTTCGAGCTATGCCAGCGTTCTGCCGGTAGACGTGAATGCCGCCGTTCTGCTTAGCATCACTGGCTCAGCAAACTTACAACTCGTTCAGATTTCTGTCTAGTGGTGTGGCGCTTATGGTAGCGCATCGTGCCGTTTCCCCCGATACTAACAACGCCTGCAGGCTCCGTGGTGACGTCACCTCAGTGAGGCCTAACAGCGGCTAGGAATGACAAGCGCTTATCCGTTACCACCGATACAACAAGGCTAGCAGACTCTGACGTGAACAGCTCGTGACGTCACCAAGAGAGGCAAGTGTTTTATTTTATCGCTTGTCGACTAACGCGTCAGTTCGTGTTAATTCATCGGTGATTCACGTATGTTTTTGAAGCGGTCCCGAATTCTTTTGTTGTTTATTCATCAAAATAATTGGCGGAAAAATTACTGTTTTGTGAAATGTTTTGTGTTGTGATCGGCGAAATAACAATGCCTTTCAAGTGTTGTGTTCCCTTTTGTCGGGGGAATTATGTGGGTGGTTCAAAAGTTCATGCTTTCAGTTTCCCGTTGGACGAGGAGCTATCGAAAATGTGGGTATATGCAATTCACCGCGAGGATTTCACTCCATCTGAGTTCAGTAGTAAACAGAGCTTGATTTATGATGATGAATTAATAATAGAAGACAATTACTCTCCCATAAAAAGTATAAATAGAGGAAAAATAGAAAAGCTTTGATTGTGCAGTTAGTTTTGTATTCGTATATTATAGTCATCAAAATCATCCCTGAATTCGAGGAAATTTTCTTGGATGTTCATAATAAAAGGGCATTTTTAATTCTCATTCTCAAATTTCTTTCTGAAAACGGTCATTTGCCTCGTGGCAATGAATGCAGAATTCATTCCAACGATCAAATTGCAACTATCATATCAACATGAACTATAAACACTCTACTTAAAAAGGTAAAACTGCATTTATAATGATATTTATTATGAAGATATTTGACTAAAAAGTTCCAAATTTCACCTTCTTTTTCACCTGTCTTCTGGATGGCATTTAGAACAAATTTCTTTTCAATTTTCATCATATTGAACAATTTATATTTAATTCAACTATAAATATGATTTTCTTGAGATTAATCCATATTCACTGAAAAGAAGAAAGAATATCATTCAAAATAATGGCGTGTGTAATGTCATTCGAAAGCAATCTATTGACATTTGACATCTCGTATTTTGATTGACTATTGATTAAATGGTCGTCATCTGGAATGCTTTTTCACTAAATATGAAAAACTCGCCATGAAAATCATTGAATTTTCTATATAAAAATGTGCCATCGAAGTACATCATGAGTGTATAAAGTGTCCAATGACAAAATAAGAGCAAGTAGCTTCAAATGCCCCCAACACAAGGGGAGAAAGAAGGCGAAATTTCGAACTTTTTCTCGAAATATCTCAATAAATAGTGGTTTGTTCACATTTTCATTATAAAATTCGGTTTATCAGACGCAAATACGTGAGTACCAAAAAAAAATTTCCAAATAAAAAACATCGCATGCTAAATGCAGTTTTACCCTTAAAAATTACGGTTTCGAGTGTAACGATCCACTTGGGTGAAAAATCCAACAACAGAAAATTGAAAACACTTACTGGTTATTTTTTCAGGTAATAGAAATTCTCCAAGATAAATATAGGTAATTGTTACAAACGGCATGTCAATCAAAATAAAATACATTTTCCACAATTTTTTTTCGATCAATCTCACGATAAGTTTATGTTCTGCGGGCCCTGTATAAGTAGGTGTGAAGTTTACCTTCACCACAATTTTTGCCAATATATTTAATTCGAATGGGTTGCTGTAGGTGGATATTTGTGTTTTATCCTGGTTTTTGCTTTAAAACTTCGTTTTTCCATAATAAAATCGAATGGGGTGTGAAGAAGGGCTCAGTTGACGACTGGCATCCTTTTTCAACCGGAAACCCTCCAAAAAACAGCAAAATCGGCTCAATGATGATCTAAAACTAAAATCGAAATACGCGGTCGCCTTATAGCGCTATAAGCGCTTGTCGTTTCGAGCCGCTGGTTAGGCCTCACTAAGTGACGTCACCCACGGAGCATGCAGACCTTATCGCGCTATATAAGGCGACCGCGTATTTTAATCTCAGTTTCAGATCATTATTGAGCCGGTTTTGCTATTTTTCTGAAGGGCTCCTGGTCAAAAGAGGATGCCAGTCGTCAACTGAGCCCTTCTTCACATCCCATTCGATTTTATTATAGGAAAACGGAGTTTCAATTATTTCAAAGCAAAAACCATAATAAAACACAAATACCCACCTACAGCAAACCCATTCGAATCGAATATATTGGCAAAAATAGAGGTAAACTTCACACCTAATTATACAGGGCCCGCAGAACATAAACTTATCGTGAGATTGATTGAAAGAAAATTTGGGAAAATGTATTTCATTTTGATAGACATGCCGTTTGTTATAATTACCTATATTCACCTTGGAGAATTCCTATGACCTAAAACATTAGCCAGTGAGTGTTTTCAATTTCCTGTTGTTGAATTTTTCACCCAATTGATCGTTAGTCTAGTAACAGTAATTTTTAAGTAGAGTGTTTGTATCACATGTTGATATGATAGTTGCAATTTGATCATTGGAATGAATTCTGCATTCATTATCACGAGGCAAATGACCGTTTTCAGAAAGGAATTTGAGAATGTTTTGGGTCGAAAATGCCCGTTTGTTATGAACATTCAAGAATATTTTCCGAATTCAGAGATGATTTTGTTGAATATAATAATATAAACGAGTACAAAACTAACTGCACAATCAAAGCTTGCGTATAGAGTTATTTTCCTCTACTCATACTTTTTATGAGAGATCAATTGTCTTCTATTATTGATTCATATAAATTAAGTTCTGTTTACAAAATTCGCACTGGATTTTTCAATATAGTCAAAATGAAATCTGAGCCTTTTTCCGATTCATAGATATGTGAAATTGTCCACCTGGAAGTTGACGATATTTCTTGAACCTATGTTCCAAATCATCTGTTCGAAATTACAAACATAATTCATTTTGAGTTCGTCAAAACAATATTTTATAACTTCTGGTATTCCATATATAGTGTGAATCAAAGCAGTATGTGTTTGGTTTGTTAGTTTATTGGGAACGCACGATGTTCTTTGAACATTATAGGGATATACTAGCCAGTGAGTATTTTTCGAAGTTATGTTTCACAATCCTTGTAGACTTTCGGCGCCAGAGATCTCTGACAGGGCGAGTCACGTGGTTTGGGTAGAAGTGGAGGGGTGAGGGTGGTTTCAAATGACCTAACTACTACCACAGTACTGTGGGCAATTCATACAAATTTGTGATTTCTAAAATTTGTTGAAGACATTTGACGAAGTGATTCAACTAATTTCGAATTGTATCAATCGTGACTCTTATTGATCGATAAGCTAATATTCTCCTTAGCCATCAGCTTATTGTCTGCGGCGACGCTTTATGGAGAAAATATCAAACTTGTACTAAGCTTTGGACGTTTCGGGAACAAATCTGCTCCCGTTTTCAACATAAAAAATTGATTTATTTTGTATCGCAAATTCGTATTTGTCCTGACACTTTTCAGTTCGCAGTGACAATTGGTGACGTTGGCAATCAAATGGGTTTCAGGATGTTTTCATTGATTGATCCTGAAGTCACCATTCTCATTTTCAGATTTCAATAGTGAATACCATGTTCTATCTATATCACATGAACAGGAAGCAATGCTATTCAGAAGAATGCAAGCAGATTCCTTGATTTTCCTCTTCTTCTCCAACGATTTCAATATTATTCCACTCTGCCATATGTTGTCCTTGTTCAGTAATGATATGTTCAGATAGTTTCGATTTGTCGATGTGTCTTTCCTTTATATTGTATTTATGTTCCTTCGTCCCTACTGCTGACATTCTTCTGAACGGATACAATAGCAAGATTGCCCACGTCACCAATATTGTCACTGAGAACTGAGAAGTGTCAGGACGAATACGAATTACCGATACAAAAATTCCCTTTTTATTATGCTGAAAACAAAAGCTGATTTGTTCCCGAAACGTCCAAAGCTGAGTAAAAATTTGATATTTCCTCTATATATGTTTATCCATTCCTCTTCTCCAAACTTTTTTCAATACAAATTGTCACTGACAAGCTAGTAAATTTTCATTTCAGGCTCTTTGACAGGAAAATTCTTTTAAGGCAGTGACATTTTGGGGCAAATCATTTGATTTTTCCTTATTACACGTATATTGAAATGATATCCCTTTTTTTATAGAAACGAGGAGAGAAAATTCCAAAGAATCTAGAATAATGAATGTACCACCTCCTCGATTAACCTACAAACAGAATTACGGAAAAAAATGTTCGACATTTCATCTCCGTTGATAGATTATAAAATTTCACATCTCAATAATAACTTTTTCCCACGGGAAAAAAGTGAGTACTTTATTCCCAGATTTTGCTATGCTAGTTCCGAAAAATAAGGACGAGGACGAACTCCAAGTTGTTTTATCCTTCATTTCACTTCGCGGTCACGTAAATTTTGAACAACCACTAAGTTCACAATTTTTCAGAATCAAATCACAGACTTA